TTTTTAGATTGCACAAAAATTTTAAATCTAGAAGCCCATTGTGCATAGGGAAAGTTAATGAATTTAGGAGCAACATTGGATTCATAGCCTAACAAAGGTGCACAATTCATGTTCATGATAAATATATATGTGCAAGCAAGACAAAAAATGCAATCAAAACAAGATTAGCACAAAAAGATAACTTGGATCTTTAACTCAAGGCGATTAGACCTTAAATCAAAGAGCACCAAGCTCTGATACCAATTGTTAGACCCTAGAGGGGGGGTGATTAGGGTCTTATGCTAATCTAATCCGATTAAATGCCAATTAAAATTAATTAATACGTTATCCTAGCAAGTATAAAATACAACAAGATATGTGAGCTAGGATAAACAATATGAACAAGGGATATATCCTAGCAATGAGATATACTATGAGTTATATGCAAGGATATGAAACTAAGGGTGATATAAACATAAATAAGATAAACAAGATAGTGGATAATATGAACTAAGAGTAAATGACAATGGCGATATAAGATATGAGCATGAATATAAATGAACGCCAAAGCATACTCAAACACACTATATGATCACGGAGTTCGGACCTTCCGTCCTACGTCTCCGCTCCCCACTCCCGGGGAGAAATCCACTAACACAATCCGGTTTGGAAGCCGGAACTTCTTCTACACACTCGGTTTTCTAGCTAACCGAAAACTCTACAACTCACACTCTTGCAATCACACTCTACACCCACTAAGTGTTGGACCTAGCCGTGTCTCCCTCAAGTGCTCGGTTACAACCTCTCTCTAGGCACGTCAACCGACGCCACTCCTCTTGGGACGATCCCCGACTCTCACCACACACTCCTCACTCGGTGTACAAGTGTATTACAAAGTGATTTCACAATTAAGCACAATATAGCAAATGATTGTTCTCTCTAACAAGGTGAGAACTCAATTAAGCACAACTCTTAGTCACAAACCCACAACCCCAAATTATACTATGAATGTAAATACAATAAGCTCAATAGGTTGTGTGTGATCAAAGAGATAAAACAATATAAACTCAATATAGAAATCTAGCTTATGGAAATTAAGATCAAAACAATAAATAGCTAGAATTGAGTTTAAGGAAAACTTCTCTATAGATCAAGAGTGAGAGAGAGATGAGTTGAATGCCCAAACACCAAAGGATGATCTCCTCAAGCTCTTGTAGAATTGAATCACAAAACCGAAACACTCAAATGCTTAAAAGCTTCTTAAACTTAAACAAACACTAAACAAGTTTAAACCCTTGTTAAAACTTTTTAAACCATTCTCTTAACCTCTCAAAAGATATCAGCAAAGGGGTATTTATACCCTCTAAAGATCTCAGCAAAAAATCCCAAGTCAAAAGACCAAAAAACCATCTTCAACGGCTCTAAAAAGAGCCGTTGGGACTCCAGCGGTCGACCGATGAAAATCGCGGTCGACCGGAAACAAGGTCAGAGTCGCAGGAGACTTCCAGAGAGTCTTCGGTTGACCGGGTGGAAATTTCGGTCGACCGATGGTAAATTTCGGTCGACCGGCTGAAATTTCGGTCGACCGACGGTACTGAAGCAGGTATATCCGATTTTATAAAATCGGTTAAAAATAGTAAAACAGCTCCAAAAATTATGAAATTTTGAGGAAAGGTTCTAGACATGTATAAAAACATATTAGAGAAAGAATTTCTGAAAAATAATTTTCCAGTTGAGAGAAATAAATGTTTTAACACAGAAATACAGTTTCTGAAAATCTGCTGTGATACACGATTTTGTAAAATCAATTAGGCACAGTAAATCAACTCTAAAAATAGTAAAATTTTGTGGGAAGTTTCTAAATATGTAGATAAACATGTCAGAGAAAGAATATTTCAAATATCACTTCTAATTTGTGAAAACTCATCAGTTTTGTAAAACATGCACGAACATGTGCACGAACGAAAACGTGAATTTGTAAATTCCTTTAAACATAACAAATCAATTCCAAACTTGATGAAACTTTGAGAAATGTTTGCAAATAATATTTTGAACATGTTACAAAAAGAATTTTCCAATTTGCATTTCTCAATTGTGAAATCTCATTATTTTGCAAAAGTATTCAAAACATGAAAAACCCAAAACCATGCATGTATATATATAACTATATATATACATAGAAACCAAATACGTGTGTGTATATGATATTGAGCTTAAGGTACTTAACACACATAATATAAAACCTAAGCTAAGTTACCCAAGCTTGATCTTGATCTTCATTGTAGCTCAACTTGGTACACGTTGCGGATGAAGCTTGAACTTGATCTTTAACTTGAATTGTATATGCTTCAATCCGACATTCCGCCAACCTCCTTTGGATATCATCGTTGAAGCGCAATCCATCCATCCTCCAACTATGTTGTTTGTCTACAACAAATACGAAAACACAAATACTAGACAAACATCATTAGTGATAAATTGTTTGTTAATCATCATCAAAACAAGAAGGCCAACAATATTATCCCAACAAAAACTAAAAGTATTCAACAAAATTTGGTGGATTTTAAAATATCTTGGCATCTTGCAACATCTATATGTAGTTTTGAATTGGGAAATTGAGAGACCAGAAAATCTCACTTCGCTTCCATCTCCTAAAAAAGTAAGAAATTTTCAAAACTTACTATTAAACTGGTGTCGAAGAATAAAATGGATGGGGGCAACGTAGAGAAGGAATTAGGCGAAGTATTGGGCTAAATACAAATTGATGTACTATTGAAGAAATCATTGAGGTGTTGGTGGTGTTTGAAAGTAGGATCTTTTTAGAGTCATTTTCGAATGGAGATGGAAAGAGGAGTCTTCTTTAAATTTTTGTAAATGAAGAGGTAAGGAGATTGAGAGCTGAAAGAGAAGAGAAAGAGATTTTGAATTTTTGGTGAAGATATGCTCTTATTATGACAAAAAAATACACGAAGATGAACCAGCAAAGGCTACAAAATAATGAGTCCTGATTTCATTAATTTAATTTAATTAGAATTAGAATATATAATATAAATAAGGTGTAGGGGTAAAATTGTCCATAGAAAGTTTTACCTGTACACTCTTTTTTAAAGAGAGCATGAAATGATTTATGTTATCCTTTCCTATTATATGTTATCTGGATTCAATCTAGACCTTGTAGGTTTTGATTCCAGTTGATGTTTAAGTATTTGCCTATTAATTTACTCCATGAAATAGGTCTATCTTATATACATGAATATTATAGTAATTTTACTTTCCATCTAGAAAAAATACCTGCACGTGTAAACACATTAGATGATATTTTTTTATAAACAAATTAGGGGTTTGCCTGGATTTCATGGAAGCTTATGGTCTTATATTGACAACATTCACCCACTTGCATGTCTTGGTATTAGTTGCACATTTTTGATACTTCACGTAAACTTGTGGTCTTTAACTATTACTTATGTTGCTATATATCTAACCAGTAAGCTATTATCTATATCTTAAATAACAACTAAGAAATTATATATGCATAGTCATTTAAGTATCCAAATAAAGTTTTCAATTGGGATGAGATTATTTTGATCTTTTAGTGCATCCTAATTGGAAATCTAAACTTTTAGTGCATCAAAAGATGTACGCGCTAAAATTATGGCATGTCTTTAAAGCACGGTCGAAACTGGATTAGGTACGTGGTTATCATATTTATGACAAAGTTATAACTAACAACTAAAACTTGTCTTGTAAGTGAAGGAATAAACCTCATAATAATATAAGCTCTATGATTTAGGGAGGAAAGATTCTATTAGAACCGCATAAAAAATGGGCTGGTCTGTATTATTCAAGTATAGCTAGAGGGTTGGTTTAAAATTTTTATTTTTTTTTATCTTTGTTGTAAATTATCCTACTTCTATATATAGGGATGGTTTTGATAAGATTCTTACCGTGCCTAAGGTCAATTTGTAGACAATAATAAAAGGACAACACTTAAATAGTTATAGTTCCACGTATTTTGCACTTATAAACCCTTGTTTTTCACAACATTTATATACCCAAGATATTCAAATTGACACTTTGCTATCCACAAATGTGTATACGTGAAAAACAGAATGTTCATTCTCACTTCTCTTTCATTCACACTTTTTTATGGAAATGGATGTTCCCATTAATTACATATACCAAAAGAAAATCCATATCAAATATGTTTTGATTACGTATTAGTTACGTATATCAAAAATAAAAAGATTATTGTTCCCCCTCCATTCTCTAACCTCATCCAAACATGGGAAAAAAACGAGCTACCACACAAATTTCATTAGATTCCTTACTTCGTTCAATTCCCACTTGATCTGATTTTTACATACCAAACAAGGTGTTAGAATCAATTAGCATCAATTAGAAAGTTCCATGATTGCAGTATTGAGTGTGGTAAAAGTTTTAATTTTAAACAACTTGGGTATATAAATGCTGGGGAAAACATGCTAAAGCGTACGATCGAGAATTGAGTGAAATTAATTCTAAGGTATTTAAGCGCTATTTAGCCATTATAAAATAACAAAAAAAATGCTCCTGCTACAGTGCAGGGGGCCCCACTTCAGATTTTTTAAAAAATCTGAAGTGGGGCCCCCTGCACTGTAGCAGGAGGGGGGGTGGGGTTGTGGTTAACAACTAGTTTCAAGCCCGTGCGATGCACGGATTTCTCTAAAATATAAAAATTGCTATAGCAAAATAATACAAAATAAAACGGTAATAATATGTAAGTAGTCAGAAATGATACAACCTAAACTGCATATATATTTGACTTAATATTAAACTGTTAAAAAGAATGAAAATATAATTCTCATATTCTCATAACAAAACTGCTTAAAATGCCTAATGTCTTTATGATTAATGTCATAATAATTTTTTATAGCAAGTAATTTGTATGAAGTATAATTTTTTGTTCCAAACAAAATATTCAAAGCACATAGAGATACATGTCAATTATATATATATATTTGAATGAAAATAATAACTATCAATATATTGATAAACCAAATATCCAGCATAACATAATCATATCAAATATTTAGGTTTACCAACCCAAAACCACCAAAATAATCTACACTGATTACAAAAGCTTACTAAATATGTGTTCATACAAGAATACTAAATATAAGTTTCATACATCATAAATCAGATAGGTTTTTTCCTTCAAAATGTAGCTTCTACTCTCCGTAGAATCTAGTAATTATCTTTTTCAATTTTGATAAGTTTTTCCTTTTTGTTGCTTGACATTTGCGGAGAGATCAAGTCCACTGAAACAGATTGCTCGACATCAGATTCGAACAAATTTCTCTTGCAAGGTGTAATGTTATCCGAGGAACAAATTTTAACTTCTGTATTGTCACAAGTGACAGATAAAGAGACCTGTGTTTCATTATTATAAAATAAAATAATAGTTAGCATGTTAATGAGGTGGTAGGAATAGATTGTTCTACAATTATTGTGAAGAATTAAGAAATCATAAGTAAGTTGAAAAGAAGTAGGCAATACAGAACTTTTTATGCAAAGTGTCAAAAGTTAATTAGAAGCTTTAATAATTTGATAATTGGTCAATGACAAATAGAACATAAGACACAAATAATGTTAACTAAACTTCAATCTTTTATTTGATGTGAAAACTTCTAAAACTCAAATGGTTAAAAAATCTTGTATTGTTAAAATTCATTGTACTCATATGTTAGATAAGAATCTAACAATATATAATGCATTCTTTTAAAAAATCTAACATTAAATTCATATTCTACACATTTTGGGAAAATAAAGGCATGTTTATTTTATCTATTTAGTTAGTATAATTATAAGATATAAAGAAAAGTTTCTAGAACTGTTATTGTGAAGAATCAATAGAGGAATAGTAAAACAAAATTCAAAGTGATAACTGTGTAATAAGCAGAAACTTCAAAAGTGTATCTTCTGAAATAAGTATTGTGAAATATACAACAAAAATTAGGTTTTCGAGAAATTTAACTTGTCCGGATGTCCCCTTAATTATGAAGATAGGTATTGAGGTGTTAGTATTAGTTATGATCATACTTCAGCCTGAATGGAGGTTGTACATATAAAGCGTATGGTATGACGTCAATAGTTACTTTTCATTTTACTCCAAAAAATAATTAAAAAAAATACAAACATTAGGAATCAAAAAGAGAAGTTATACTAAGTGTGTTGACTTGCATTATCAAGATGAACTTTCTTTTTGGAAGATTCAGCTTCATTAGTGAAATATTCTTGACATGTCGACTCCTAATGATTTAGAATGAAAAAATATTACTAATACATTGCTCAACTTTATTTATATATGTAGAGTGATACATGAAATGAATACATATGTAGCTTTATAAAAGAAGAAAATATGTAATGTACATGGTTCAAATCTAAGCTGTCTTTGAAAGCTGCTATCAGATTTTTATCATTTCTTTTGAACTTATGTGTCCTGTCTTTGAAAGCTGCTATCAGATTTTTATCATTTCTTTTGAACTTATGTGTCATATACTCTAGCTTGGAAGGTTTGCGATAGGGGAATGCGAGCCTAATTTGATGACCATCCCTTCCCCAGAATGATAATGTTCTTTTTCTTGCTGTTCGTTTCACAATCGCCATCACTAAAAAATAAAAAAAAATGTATGTTAGTATTTGTGATTAGAATCCTAGATGGGGAAGGGATGGCTCTAAGTTTCTACATAGTGAAATGCATAAATTGATGAAGTAAAAGAATAAAAAAAAGAATACAGTGTAAAAAATAAGACAACGTATGATCAATAATAAGTTATTTCAAAAAAAAAGAATACAGTGTAAAAAATAAGACAACGTATGATCAATAATAAGTTATTTCCTACACCCTGGTTTGTTCAAGTCCTTTTGGCACATAACTTGACAACGTATGATCAATAATAAGTTATTTCCTACACCCTGGTTTGTTCAAGTCCTTTTGGCACATAACTTAAGCACATTACTATGGAAAGTTAACCAAAAGCACATTACTATGAAAAGTGATATGATACTACAGTGGCCTGAATGTAGCAACTCGTAAGAATTACTCCTGACAACATAACTTCTGCACATTACTATGGAAAGTTAACCAAAAGTGATATGATTTAAGCAGGTTATGTCTATTTTGTTGAAGTGTTGTTTTGTTGTTTTATGTGTCCAGGTGTGAGCTTGTATGGAAGTGGACAGCGAGGGGATATTTTCAAGTAACTTCATAATAACAACTATATTAATTATACTTCACCTTAAGAAATGAATGGCAGTTGACTAATATGGAAAACTATGTGAAACAGTGAGATGGATGAGCCTTTTGCAGTTGAATTCAGAATATGATTCACCTATATGCATACAGATGGCACATATAACTGTGCTCTAATCATGATAGCTAAATGCAGTTGTTGGCTATTATCTATAGGCTGTTACTGCTTTGTATGTTTATGCTTATAATGTTGGAAGCTTAGTTTTGATTACCTACATAGAGACTGCTTGATCTAATGTAAGCTGGTTTAATAGTCTTGGTTTAGCTAAACATGAGATATTTCCATGAAGCTCTCTCAGAAATATAGGAGTTAGCATCCATGTGAAAACAGAATCACAGACATGAGTACATGAAAACTTTAGAAAATTAGAAATCCTCAAAATCCAATGTCTCATGCTTTATATGTTTATACTTATAATGTTGGTAGCTTAGTTCTGATTAACCATGTAGGGACTGCTTGATTTAATGTAAGTTGGTTTAGTGGTCTTGGTTTAGCTAAACATGAGATATTTGCATGAGACTCTCCCAAAAACACAGGAGTTAGACACATCCATGTGAAAACATAGTCACAGACATGATTACATGAATGCAGAATATTAGAGATGCACAAAATCCAATGTCTTGTGTGAATTCAACGATTTTTCCAGAAACAAATATATGTGGATTGTGGTAAATGGACCAATCGTGTGATTAGCCAGTTAGCTGCATAGCATGCCCTGATATTTGATTTGGGAGGTAGAGGATTAAGATGATATCAACTCCTGACAGTACACAAAAACTAAATGACTGCTATCAAATTAATATTCAAAAGCTATGGAGGTTTAAGCAAGTAGCATGGAGAAATAGCTACACATATATAGCATAATCAAGAATGAAAGTCATTCCAAACTCTTTTCTACCCATGCAACAGAATAACTTCAGCACATTACTCCTGACAACATAACTTCAGCACATAACTCCGACAACATAACTTCAGCACATAACTTCAGCACATTACTATGGAAAGTTAACCAAAAGCACATTCCTATGGAAAGTGACATGATACTACAGTGGCCTTAATGTAGCAACTTGTAAGAATTTGAAACTTCACTGAGCTGTAAACAACAAAATCAGTCAACTGAGCTTATCAGTCAACTGAGCTTGTAAGAATTTCAAAAATCAGCATTAATATAAGCTCATAAGTTATATATACAAGTTGTATTAATGCATTCGCATAAAACCTCACTGAGCTGTAAACATGTTATAAGTATCTTAAATCAGTTAACTGAGCTTTATACATATTGTCAAGATTAATACCTGCTCGATGATAACAAAATAGTGGGAATTAGCCTGCATAATAAAGTTTAACAACAGTGAGTACCAATCGAATAAATCAAAGCAATTATGAATCAATTTCAGTAAAGAGTAAAGGTAAAACAGAGATTATAGGTCAGCAGAAGTAAGAAATTTCCCATCAAAAACTGACCATTCATTTCAAAGAAAATCAGATAAGAAAACTAAAAATTTACAGAGTCAAGGCTATATGAGAATCCATGAACCTTATATTTATTGTTCTATAAACATAATAATGTGTCACATATGCAAAACGTGCATATAAACTGGTTAAATAGACACCCACCGGTCTTTTTTTTAATCTCGGTTTAATATGCATCTCAAGATTAATTCCAATGTTATCGCACACACCCACCGGTCTTTTTTTTAATCTCGGTTTAATATGCATCTCAAGATTAATTCCAATGTTATCGCACTTGTTTTACATCAAAATATCATTTTAAAAAACATGAAAACGTGGTAATACTAACATGTAAAGAAAGAAAACATTAAGTAAGAAAATCCCTTCACCTTGAGAACATTTAATAGCATAACAGTTTCACAAACAACATGACAAAATCAATAAAAGTATAAATTCTATTATAGCTACAACTCACTGGGGAATTCTGTCACACGTTCACTCCCATCAAAATCAGACCATTCATTTCTAAAACTTTCTCCTGGATTTTCTTTATGCCCATCCCCTCAAGTTGTAATCTCTATCTAAAAGAGTTGAACTTCAACTAAAAATTCCAGTATTGAGAATTAAGATCGAACATTATAAAGTTCTTGTGTTAAAGATTGAACATTATAGGTAGGAATATTAGCATTAATCTGAACATATGGATCACTTACAGGGACGCCGCCGACCGACGACCTTCGTCTCCAGTGACGCCAAACGCTTTTCGCAGCGTAGGGATCAGTCATCGCCGGGGGATTGGACGATGGTTTGATTTGGAAATTAGGGATGTGGGAATGAGTATCTGAGCCATGATATATATTCGTAATATCCTTCGGCGACGATTGGGTTCTCGAGGCATCGTTCGCGGGCAACGAAGCATCGATCGCGGGTAACGAAGAACGGGAGAATAATGGGTTTGGGTGAAAGTTGATTTTGGGAAAGAGAGCGGAGACAGAACAATTTTCTTCTGTGTAAGGAGGTAGAAGAGAGGAACGGTGAAATGGAAGAATTGGGGGAAGACGAAGCAGCTCGTCGTTGGAAATATAAGTGGTGGAGAGAAGTTCGAAGCGGAGATTTAATGTGTTGAGGCCAGGTGGCGTGTATAATTGTATGGGTTAATTTTGCCAAGTGGCATTTTTGACAGGTGGCATAACCAAGAGTAACACTTATTAGTAATAGTATATAGATTAAGTCTCTCACAACAAAAAAAACAAAGACAAAACGTTGCACAACTACGCATGAAAAAAAAAACAAAGACAAAACATTGCTGTGAGTGGTCAAGATTAATACCTGCTCGATGATAACAAAATATTGGGAATTAGACTGCATGATAAAGTTTAATAACAGTGAGTACCAATCAAATAAATCAAAGCAATTATGTTTAAATATCAACAACATGTTTAAATAACATGTTTAATAACAGTGAGTACTAATAAGAAATTCCCACAAAAAAAACAAATTTCACTCCTTCTGCATATGAATAAGATTGATATACGCTTCAAAACATATTCTAAAGCTGAAAGCTAGCAAACTTGGACAGTTAAAGGAAGAAATGTACATAAATATACCTGGGACTGTTTCAATGAAATGAACATTTTGGAGATCTAGTCTGGACAGCAGACCTAAGACTTGTTTTTCACTCTGTCAACAGTAAGAATACAGAGAACTTACAACCATCCAGAAAGCAAGCATAAGTAAAAAGGCATTGTAAATTTTCAATACAGACCATGCATACAAATCCCAGGTGGCACTGGATACTTTATTAGTCATAGTTAAACAATAAACACATGCTTGGTATGAAGGTATTTCTTCATACCAAATTTTCATAAGCAAAGAGTGCATAAATATTCTTCTAGTATTTCCAAACAATCACCAATGATTAATTTAGAGTCTGGATAAAGAGAAAGGTATTTATTCATAGCAAATTTACATGCGCAAAGAGAGCAACAATATCTTCTAGTATTTCCAAAACAGTCAACAACGATCAATTTAGAGTCTGGATATGGCAGGAGGGGGCAGATGAGAAGATAAAACACAATGAGTACTGAAAAGTGAATAACAGGAACAAAGTGAACCAGCCAATAGGACATTTAATCTTCTTTTAAGTATTCAAGATAAGTAAATCCTAGCATGTAGTCATAGAAGAAATTCCAATTTTAACATCACCCTGCAATTTTGAATACTTAAAAAAGATTTGATTAGCAGAGCATTGACAGGGACTGATAAAAAAGATTTGATGAGGAAGCTGCCAAAAATTTTATATGATGAGCAAAAGGCTTTGGAGGTAAGCTCTTCACAATGGCAGGGATTATATTTATGTTTGATACTACTGGTGCACAGTCAAATTGATCAGCTAGGAGCAACATAACAAATAAAAAAATTGTAAATACATCACCCAATTAACGATAATAATGACCATAAGGCAATTCTTGTTTACTTATTCTCTAATAATTGCATTTTAAAAAAGAATTGCATTGCATTTTAAAAAAGAAGTGAAAATACATCACCCAATTAACAATAATAATGACCATAAGGCAATTCTATGTATTATGCACTATAGTGAATGGGTTAATTACGAAGTCATAGATTAACAGAGACTCATCAATTATAATATTTTAAGAATGATCACCGTCAAAGAGCACATTTCCAAACAATTTAAAAAGTTTAAAATATAGGATGACGATATCATATAATTAGCATATGTAGAGCAAGAAAGCTCTTGTAAAATCAACCCATCATGCAAAAGCAGATTGATGTAGATTCATACAAACATTGTCGGTAATTGCTCACGCTTACTATAACCAAATTGTCACAATCAAATTTTCATCCTTAAGGTATGTCATATTGAGTACCAAAAGGCTCAGCTTTATCAAATTTCACAATATACGATTAAAATTTAAATTTCGATGAAAGTAAATTTAACAAAATCGGTAACAATTTTTTAGGGGTTCAGTAAACTGACCTGTCGACCGCCAGTGACGTTGACGACCTTCTCCTCCAGTGACGCCGTCGACCAATCTCAGTCTTCGCCAAGGGTTTTGTCGATAGTCTCCTGTGGGAATAAGGGAGGTGGGGATTAGAATCTGAGGCTTTCTATATATGGGTGGCATCCTTCGGAGACGCTTGGGTGATCGAGGAAGATCACGATTTCTCTAGGCGACGAAGTCGAACAGACGACTTGGGGAGTCGAACAGACGAAGCCGATCTTGGGAAATGAAGAACAGGGGAAAGAACGACAGCTAAGAATGAAGCGGCGGAGCTAAGAATGCAGCGGCGGAGCTTTGGGAACTGAGGGGGCGGAGCTAAGAACGAAGCGATAGAGTATTTTGGAAATTGAAATGGCGGAGAGAAGAACTTCAATGGGACGCCAGGTGGCAGCTTCAATGGGATGGGTATTCTTTGCCAAGTGGCGTTTTCAGAGGTAACTGTTTTTAGATGTAGTATATAGATTCTTGGGAATCGTCCGCAACTTTAGTTGCGTAGGCCGGTTGGCACGGCTGTAGTCAGTTGTGTGCAGTTGCTCCTCGGCAACAAGATACGTTAGCGTGAGCTCCCCATCCGTCCATTTTATAGCGACTACGCTTGATTTCGAGTTCCGAAGGAGACCAAAAGCCGCGGATGATACGATCTTATTGACCGTTGACCAATTTTGAAATTTTTAAAAGGTTAGGGTTGTCTATGAATAAGACGACAGGCCCCGCTTTAAAAGGAATGTTTCAACGTGCACGCGCTACTGACTCTTGTCTTTTACGTCAAAAATAGTTCCACTTGTTTGAATACGGAAAAGCACATGCGCATAACTGAAAGAAGAGGTACAAACACCAAAAAATTTTGCATATCAAGTTTTTGAAGTTTTCGCAGAGGGAATACATGTGCAAGCAGTAACTTTTAATTTTGAATTAAGCAGTAATTTCTAATTTAGAATTGTTAGTAAAATAAAACTTCACTTTATCTACATATTATTAGGGGAAAATGTGTTGGGGCCCCAAAATCAGAAACTTCATGTGCTGCAGTTCCTCCTAGTTTTCCTTATGTGGTTTAGCCCCTTGAAGTGTGACATTTTGTGTTGCAGTCCTTTTTTAGTAATTATTACATGCCAGCTAAGCTAAAATCCTCAAAATATCATTATCTCTTTTGACTGAAACCAGAGTCCAATTGATTTGGCTGCAACATTCTGCAGAAAAAACAAGAGACCAGAGAATGATAAAATGAACAACCGTAAGAGTTACCAACAACAAAATAGGCATTCAGAGAGTAAGAATTACTCACCCATTTACTGGGAGATGTTGCGGAGCTCCTACAGGATTGGACAAGCTCATTGCATCTATAAAACTCTCTGCTTGTTCCATATTAGAAGATTTCCTCCTCAGGGGGTTCAATAAATCTCTAGTTTCCATGTTCTCTTAATACAATTTTGCTGTATTGTGCAGGGATTGCTCTCAAATTTTGCTTAAGTCTCATTCAGTTGTACCTGAGAGTAAATTGAGAGCAGTGTACAAGAAATACTCGAGCATTGAATTTAGAAATGTGGCATTGAATCAACCAGCACTGAAGAAGATGTTAGAGGAGTTGAAGGCTTCTTCAGCTTCGTTTTGAATGGTTAACTGTTTTTTTATGGAGGAAGGGAAAGTCAACTATTGATGATAAGGGAGATTATTGCGTTTGTTTGTTTTTTTGCTCATACCCTTGTCTAAGGAGTAAAAGAACCTCTGTAATTGAATCAAACAATTGTAGTTTTTGATAACTATTAGAACCTCTGTAATTATTCATATGATCTATATTTTGGTTATAACTTTCTCATCCGACCTCAGAATGAGGTGATTTGAGATGCGTTGGAAAGCTGTTGAAGAGACCTACAACTTTGGTCTTTTGAGTTTTTTCAGATCCAAAATACATTTGTGTGTAAAATAATGTTTAGTTCTGTGAGCTCCCATGTTAGTTCTGTGAACTATGATGTTAGTTCTGTGAGCTCCCATGTTAGTTCTGTGAGCTATGATGTTAGTTCTGTGAGCTCCCATGTTAGTTCTGTGAGCTTCCATGATGTTATTTTCGTTGTAATTTCTCCGTCCGATCTCGGAATAAGGTGATTTGAGATGCGCTGGAAAGCTGTTGAAGAGACCTACAACTTTGATCTTTTGAGTTTTTTTAGATTCAAACTACATCTGTATGCAAAAAAAAATTTAGTTCTGTGAGCTCCCATGTTAGTTCTGTGAGCTCCCATGTTAGTTTTATGAGCTCCTATGATGTTGTTTTCACTGTAATTTCTCTGTCCGATCTCGGAATGAGATGATTTGAGATGCGTTGGAAAGCTGTTGAAGAGACCTACAATTTTGATCTTTTGAGTTTTTCCAAATTCAGACACATATATATATTAAATTGATCCCAAACTAATTCCTAGTACCCAAATATCAATAAATGTTATTTATAACCATATCACATAGTTATTATCATTTATCATGATATATTCAAATTTACCTTACATATTTATTATCATTTATCATGATATATTCAAATTTACCTCACATATTTATGATCATTTATCATGATATATTCAAATTACGGATTCAAATTATTCATATGATCTGTATTTTGGTTATAACGTTCTCATCCGATCTCGAAATGAGGTGATTTGAGATGCATTGAAAAGTTATTGAAGAGACCTACAACTTTGGTCTTTTGAGTTTTTTCAGATTCAAACTATATCTGTATGTAAAATAATTTTTAGTTCTGTGAGCTCCCATGTTAGTTCTGTGAGCTATGATGTTAGTTCTGTGAGCTCCCATGTTAGTTCTGTGAGCTCCTATGATGTTGTTTTTGCTGTAATTTCTCCATCTAATATCAGAATAAGATGATTTGAGATGCGTTGGAAAGCTATTGAAGAGACCTACAACTTTGGCCTTTTGAGTTTTTCCAGATTCAGACACATATATATATTAAATTGATCCCAAACTAATTCCTAGCATACCCAAACATCGATAAATGTTATTTATAACCATATCACATAGTTATTATCATTTAATAAATGTTATTTATAACCATATCACATAGTTATTATCATTTATCATGATATATTCAAATTTACCTCACATATTTATTATCATTTATCATGATATATTCAAATTACGGATTCAAATTATTCATATGATCTGTAATTTGATTATAACTTTTTCATCCGATCTCGGAATGAGGTCATTTGAGATGCGTTACAAATCTGTTGAAGAGACCTATAACTTTAGTCTTCTGAGTTTTTTCAGATTCGAACTATATCTATGTGTAAAATAATTTTAGTTCTGTGAGCTATGATGTTAGTTCTGTAACCTCTGATGTTAGTTCTGTGAGCTCTGATGTTAGTTCTGATAATTTTTTAGGTATGTTTACAATGCTGTTTTCGCTATAGTTCTAACACACGGCATGTTAGTTCTAGCCCACGGCGTGTTAGTTCTAACAAACCGTGTGTTAGTTCTAGATTTAACGTCTTCTCGTTTACTTCCACATCCTTGATCGCTTTAGAAATTCTCATACTTTTTTATACATTAATAGCCAATGCGTACAAAAACCAGAATTTCACGAAACTGAGCGTGGATTCAATTAAAATATGAAGATTTAGGTCCCCCTTTGGTGTGTTAGTTCTAACAGTATTATAGTCCACAGACTGGGGAACTTGTAGAACTACATATTTGGTTTGATAAAAATCTTAACATATTTGTTTTCTCTAGCGATGCTGAAGATCATATTTCTTGGCTTCTTCAACATGGTTGGCATGAGAAGGCTTTAGCTATAGTTGAAGCAGGAAAGGGACGAACTGAGCTTCTTGATGAGGTAAATTGCAGTGGATGTTTTTTTTTCTTCCAAATTATTTAGGAGAATGGAATTGATGAGATCAAGGTGGTCGAATTCAAAGTGGAGCCTTGGAGGCTGAAGTTAAGGCTGAACTTAAGGGTGGGGGGAAGGCTGAACTCGAAGGTCGAGCGGGGAGGAGGCGACAGTGAACTCGAGGGCGAGGCGGAGAGCGGCAGCGGTGGACTTCGGCGTAGTCGAGGGTGAGGCGGGGAGCAGGGCTAGGGCGACGAGATTGAGAAAGCCCTTGGTTTTAGAGAGAGATAGGAGAGAGAGAGAGAGGAGATGAGAGAGAGAGGGGATATGAGTACTGGTTCTGAGGGATTGATGAGAGGGGATAAGAATATTTTGGGGATTTTAGCTTAGGTGACATGTAATAATTGCTAAAAAGGGGCTGTAGCATAAAATATCACACTTCAATGGGCTGAACCACATGGGGGGAACTAGAAAGGGCGCAGCACATGAAGTTTATGCTTTTGGGGCCCAAACACATTTTTCCCTTTTAATTTATATTTTAAAATATGATAGCTACATCTAACTCTAAATTTAAAAAAAATCAAATCAAATTAAATTGACCCCATCTGACTCTAAGTCAATTTTAATTAAGAATTTATACGTGAGCGAATCAGATTCATATTCCAAAATTTTCGATGTAAGGTGATAAGGGACAAAAAAAGTTTCATCTTTAAATCTTTTTATTGGTTATTTATATTTAAATATTGTAAAGTTTGCATCATTTATGACTTTGATATTCTAAGAATTTTTTCAAAAATAGCACAAAAAAATTTTTTTAGAAAAAAAAACTTTGCATTCTGATACGACACGGTAGGGGTATCGAAGTTACAGTTTTGAACATTGAGATACCTTTTGGAAAAAATAAAAAAAATGTATAGCGAAGTTAAAAAATGATTTGGACTTTCGGGCGCTATTGCAAATAACTTCATTTATTTGTCACACTTGCATCAAGTATAAGTGATATGTTTAAATATGAAATAATTATTCCACGAAGATTGTTCAAATAAAAAGTCCCATTTAAACTCTGATCCAACATTATCTTCAGATCCGGACAAGAATTACATCCGGAATCAGACCCCATTTACAGCAACCCACTTGACTGCGGCCAATGTAATCTTCGAACGGGCGCACATAATTTAAGGCACACTTCACACATCAACGGACTTCATTTTTTAAATTCGAACTGCACGAATCTGGACACGTGGCAGTCAAAGAACAAAGCCTTTGCCGCCATTCTCCTTCGAGCTTTCCCCGTTAATTTCGGACGGTGAACCGGCGTTAACATCTTAACAGGCTCCGAAGGGACATCACACCGCCGTCCCCGCTCCCTAAGAAAACAATAAATAAATAAACAACGAATAAATAAATAAATTCAATTTTGCAAAATCGCATCTGAAGAGCTGAACAAAAAGAGGAGAGAGAAAGAGGCGGAGGAGAGAGAAAGAGAGATTTCGAATTCTCTCTCTCCCTCGTTCTCGTTATAATAAAGCCCTCTATTTGGAGTTCGATTAGGGTTTTGACTTCGTCTCTTCGTTCTCTTAGTTTAAGGTAACAAAGATTTTATCTCTTAAGTTTTTACTTTGACTGGATTTTTTTTGGTTACAACGCTTCAATTTGTTAGAGTTGAGATCTTGATCATCTTTGTATTTTTTAGGGTTTAGTTTTTGCCAAATTCGGGTAGATCGGATATATTTCTTGCTGGTTTTTGTTTGGAATGAGGTTGAATTGGTGTGGAAGTTTACGGGATGTTTTCAAGAATTGATTTTTAGCATATGATCACTGAATAATGTCCTAAATTTTCTTGTTCGTGAGTTATTTGAGTGGAGGAACTGTGCGATTTCACTTGATTTTGTTTCGAACTTAATTTCTTGTAAACTTCTTGAGATGAAATTGTATAATGCACAAAATTTAGTGCTAGGCATTGGTACTTGTTCTTAAGGCTGGAGGCTGGACGATCACATAAACATCCAGAAGGAGGTCCTTTTTTTATATAAAGGTTCGAAAGGAGAATTGAAATGCTTGTTCAGACCATAGTTGTTATTATATCTCCCCGGTAGTCGTAAGTTTTATTTCTGTTAATTTTGTAAACATGCCCTTACTTTCAGTTTAGTGGCTGATAAGTGAACTTGCTTATCAATGTAATATTACCCATTTAGACCTATATATACAATCACATAGCAGATAGCCCACCGACAGGTTCACTCACAGCCACTAGCCCACAACATGAAACATCTTTCCTGGTGGTGGTGTGGCTTCCTAGATAATGTATGATGATATCTAACATCCACTAAGGTCTAAATTCATTTCTTCAATTTTCCATCTGGTACGTGGAGTCATAAAGCAAATCATATTTTCGAATCAGTTGACCAGTAATTTCTAAATGGGTAATATTGCTTTTTTTATGCACTAGTATCTGTTGCGCTAGTATCTGTAGTCTGAACAATTACATAGTAGATTTTTGTTGCCGTCAAATTATTTGTCAATGGGTCAGAATGACCAAAAATGGTCAAACTCATGAAAGCTTGAATTTTTGACTCCACAAAATTATTTGTCGATAGCTCACAATGACTAAACATGGCAATAATTGTGGTTTGTCTATGATAATATCAAGAGTTTTGGCCGAAAAGACTAAAAATAGACAAAAATCTTGGGTTATGGCTATAAATGACATAAAATTGTGGGTTATAACTTTTGAAATCATGAGTTTTGGCCTCTCTAAAATTATTTGACCATGGCTCAGGATTATTAAAAATAGCAAAAAAATTTGGGTTATAATTCATGAAATGCTAAATTTTGGTCTCCTTAACTCTGAGAAATTATTTGCTGATGGATCAAAATGACAAAAAAATGATAAAAAATTAGGGCTTGTAGCTCATGAAATTTTGAGTTTTGGTTTCCTCGAAATTATTTGGTCATGGGTCGGAATGACTAAAAATGAGCCATCAATGTAACCTCATAGCGCGAGAGCTTGAAGATTATATTGTATAGTAAGGGTCCATGCAGTGTGATTTTCAACACTACGAGAGCTCTTTTGATATCTGCATTAGTACCTAAATTTTTTTGGGCTGAAGCTCTACTGACTGCTAATTTTCTTATCAATATCATTCCATCTTCTGTATAAGATAACATCTCCACACTTTTGACTTTTTAAGTCGCATTTTCACTATTCTGTTTTTTGCACTTTTGGATGTGTCTCTTTTGTCCTGGTTCTAACTTATGAACGAGATAAGCTATTGCCACGGACTGCTCTATCTTGACTATTGCACAATTCACATAGGGTATTGTTGTTATAAGCCTACCACTTAAAGGCTCTATATTGCCTGGCATGTCAATTTCGTTGAGAACGTTCCCTACTATGCTACTTTAGACTCATATCTATACCTATACCCTTGGCACTTTTCACTACTATACCTATACCCTTGGCACTGTACATTCTTCCGTTCAGCTTGCTCCCTCTGTTACTCCGCTGGCATCTAGCAATAATTCTTTTGCATCATTCACACATTCTACACATCCATTTGCTACCACACTTCCGTTGCAAGACATTCCTTTTGTAGATGTCCCCTCTATGCTTGTGCTAGCTTATCCGAATGTGACTTCACCTCATAATCCCTCATGAGATCGTCATCCATGTTCTCGGTATGCTTAGTGTGCCACTAGACATATTCTCCAGAGTTTCTCTTTTCTTGTTGCTATTCAATCTATACACAATCTGGATTCATTTTTTGAAGTTGTTAAGTATCTGGATGGTAACATGTAATGAAAAATTGGGGTCTTTCTATAGAATTCATACTTGGGACTTTGTTCTTTTGCCCTTTGGTGTTAAATCGGTAAATTGCAAATGGATTTATAAGGTCAAGATTCGCTTAGATGGTTCTATTGAGTAGCAAAAAACTCATCTTCTCGCTCGAGGGTTTTCTTAGGAGTATAATATTCACTATCCAGAGATTTTGCTCATGTTATAAAGATGACATCCATTTGCACTCTTATTGTTATTTATACTGTCAAATATTGGTCATTATACTAAATGGATGTTAAGAATGTCTTTCTTAATGGTGATCTCTTAGAGATGACTTACATGCAACCACTCCCCGGCATCTCTGCTCCTTGAGGACATGCTTGTCATCTTCATTGTGCTATATATGGTCTCAAACAGATGCCTTGCACTTGGTTTGAGCGTTTTCGACAGTCTCTTCTCTCCATTGAATTCATAGAGAGTCTAGCGGACTATGTTCTATTCTACCTATCATCAGCTTTGGGCACAATCGTTCTCTTATTTTATGTTGATGACATGATAATTACTGGGAATAATTCTTCTGCCATTACTACATTGATGAAGCAATATTTTTAGAGTTAGTTTGAGATGAAGGATCTTGGAGGTCATTGCCTCCTCTCATGACTATCTCCTCTCAATGCAGGAATACATAACAAACATTCTTGAACGTGTTACTCTTAGTGATCCTTTCATTACTATCACTCCTCTCTCCACTCTAATGGAGATGAATTTGATGCTTCGACAAGATTGTGGTGCTCTTTTATCACAACCCACTCAATATAGGAAATTTGTAGGAGCTTCGGTTTATCTTTCTGCTACACGTCCAGATATTGTTTATGTGGTGCACATGTAGTTTGTCTCGATGATTGATGCTGAGATCGATGTTGAGATTGATCAAGATTGAGAGCGAGGCTAAGCTCGGAGGTTATCAAAGGTTATTCGGTGGGATTGAACGGAGATCTCTGATATCATGATAATTTAGAATGAAAGAGAGCTTATTCTCATTATGTAGTTTGCGTAAGAGAACACACACATATCCGTACATACATACATATGTTAGACATTAGATAACCCATCGACAGATTCACTCACTGCCACCAACAACCCGACAAACATCAAATATTTTAGAGTGACATCTTAGGTAAGGTATGATGACATCTAACGTGACAATATTCCCATTAGACTTTTTTGTCTCTTCGTGCATATTGTGAAGTTGGATGGTTTGATGATCCAAACACTCGACGTTCCACCACTGATTTTTGCATTTTTCTAGGATCATGTCTCAACGTAGTAAATGTCGAGTTGTGGTCTTTCGTTTCAGTACAAAGTTAGAGTATTGAGCAATGGCAGATACTACGGTTGAGCTGAAATGTCTCCACACTCTTTTGTGAGATCTAGATATCTCTATTCCTTGTCCCACCACTCTACATTGTGATAATCGGGGTTCTACCTCCATTTTCACAAATTCGGTGTTCCTTGAGCATACCAAACATACTAAGGTGGGTTTTCATGTAGTTCGCCAGGAGCGTATTGCTAGAAACATTAAATTTTTTATGTGTCCTTCTAAGGATCAAGTGGTGGATTTGTTTACCAAGGCACAAATAGTTCCTCAGTTCTACTATTTCATATTGAAACTCTCGGATTTCGATTCATCGTGAGTTTGAAGGGGGGTGTTAGATATCATCATACCTTATCTAAGATGTCACATCACTGCCCTTAAAATGTTTGATGTTTGTCAGGCTGGCTGTGAGTGAACATGTCGGTGGGCGTGGGCTATCTACTATACACACACACACACACACACATCCACCCACCCAAACTACATAATATGAACATGCTTTCTTTCATACCAAATTATTAGTAGAAATGAAGAATTTTTCTTTGGGTAAAATTCTTATGTAACCTAGAAAATATATAGCCTATCAAGCACAACCTTACTTAACAATGCACAACAACTTACCATAATAGCGCATATGGAAAGAGTACTCTGAGAAATTCATCATTTTCGCCTCTTGTCTGTTTTTTTACTTTCCAAATCACCTTTCGGCACGAGTTGTAAAAGTTATCTCAGTAGACATTTCTGATGAAGTATATCAACTCAGAAATATATAGTTTGGATGATATATCTCAATTATCTCAAACAGATACCTTGGATTGATTATTTGAATATATACTTATGGATGTATACTTTGAATAAAGCATCTCAAGTATCTCAATTCGAGATGATTAATGTTTTAGTGAATTTTCACTCAACAAAGACATAAACCATGCTAGAAATGCTTTCACTTATTGTTTTATTGACCTCGTTTAGATGTTGAGGGAAACTTCATCATCTTTCATGTAGGCCTCTCTTATACATGTTTACTTATTTTTAAAAAAGTATATTTTTCTCATATATGGGGTAAAAATTGTTATTGTTTTCCTCTCTGTATGCAGGTCTGAGTCTATCTTTGCTATTAATTAATGGCATCGGGTAGCACATATTTGGATGATGTAAGAATGAGTCCTGAGGTTGTTGATCCTCCGAGAATTGAAGATACTACCGAAGTTATTGACCTTATAGGAGACCATATTCAACATTCACCCAAATCTAATGTGGTTGTTGCCAGCAATGTTCGTGAACTACTGGAATGTCCTGTTTGCTTAAATGCGATGTACCCGCCCATCCATCAGGTAATTGACTGCATGTTACTACATTCTCTCTTGTATTTTTTGTATAACTTGGCTTTGTTCTTGTTATACTTTGTTTCATCCTTTACTTTCTTTGTTTCTTTTGCCATTGTACTATCATATGAGAATAACTTTTGCTTTTGAACTCAGAGGTACCTGGAAAGTTTGTTGCGTTTTAAAATTCATTCTTATTGTATGTTGAGATTATTATGGCTACACAAATAGCACCTTGTCAATTATTTTTTCTTCCCTGCATCTTTTTGTTTCTATTTGTAATTATTCTATTGCTTGCATCTGAAGTGGATTCATTGCTCTTTGTTTGAAATGATGTAGTTTACTGGCAGAAGTCGGTTTGGCTGTTTTGAATGTACCTGTGTTGCTTTACATTGTTCACAATTTTATTGCTGTTCATAAACCTTTTATCTATTTTTGTATTCATATCCTGGTTATGTGGTGGCTTTTACAGTTACTCGAATTATTCCTATATGTATTATTTCCTAATTACTTTTGCAGTGTTCAAATGGCCACACACTGTGTTCTGGTTGCAAGCCAAGGGTACACAACCGTTGTCCCACGTGCAGGCACGAATTGGGCAACATTAGATGTCTTGCTCTGGAAAAGGTTGCTGCTTCTTTGGAATTGCCTTGCAAATACCAGAACTTTGGTTGTATTGGTATTTATCCATATTACTCCAAGTTGAAGCATGAAGCACAATGCATATATCGGCCGTATAATTGTCCCTATGCTGGCTCTGAGTGCACTGTTGTAGGCGACGTTCCTTATTTGGTGACTCACCTGAAAGATGATCACAAGGTCGACATGCACAATGGGAGCACCTTCAACCACAGATATGTCAAGTCAAATCCACATGAAGTAGAGAATGCAACATGGATGCTTACGGTATTGTTTTTAAGCTTACATGATGTCCTTGTTTGTATGATATTTTTCATGTGAGATAATTTCTCTGTTTCCTGAGCATGTCATTAGTCACTCACGTGAGATAACTTATTCCTTTCTTGAGCATGTCATTTTCACATTTTATTGCCAATCTATTTTCACATACACTAACATGAAATCCATGTGATTCATGAAGATCAGTTTATCCACATCTTAATTTCTCTGTGAACTTTACAAGTCTCTTTTAGTTTAAAAGAGGGAACTTCTACTTGCATTTCTGTCACACTATTAGAATATTTACCACCATATGCTAATATTCCTATCTGATTTCCAAGGGTTTAACTCAAAGAAAAGACAAACGAAATCACCCAGCAGCGACGGGAGTAAAACTCCGCAAAGTTCTTGACTATTAGGACTGGTTAGGTGGATAGGTTGGTTAAACCGTTAAATTTTATTGCTGTATGTATTAGAGTTTTGACTAGGTGACAGCTGACCGATAAAAGGGTTCGATAACTTTAACCCAGACATCAAGATGTGGGTTTTGATTCTTATTAAATTTAAGCTTTTTAAAAATACATGTTGCTGTCAGTTAGAGTTTATCATGTACAACACCCTAACTGAGCAGGCCATTACGATCCTTGTCTACTTGATACTTGATCTTTGGCTTTCACGTGTAACAACCCAAGTATCTGTAAGAAAACATTAGATTTGACATAGTGGGCTGAAGAACACTTATTTCATTTTCCTTGGGTGAACTCTCAACTACCATGGTCTTTTGGGTGTTCTGCGCAGAACTACGATAACCTTTTTATTAGAGAAAACCACAATAGACTATTTTCGCTGAACTACCATGCTTGACGGCAGTTAGGGTATAATTTGTCAGTTGTCATGTTCTTCGCTCTTAACATGTTCTAGACAATTTTCCCCTTATGTACTTTATAGCTATATGTCTTCTATATGACCCTCATTAACTCAGTGGGTTTATAGGTACAAATAAAGGGTAAAAGATTTTAATCCCATTTAAGTCACAGTTTCCAATAGTTCATGTTATATTCTTCACTTCTGAAAGTTCACGGCTGTTTTTCTCTAAAAAAATGTTTATGTTAGTATTGTGCAGGATCTCCCAGAGTTGACAGTAGTTTTGTGTAATTTACCCTCAGTCCATAGTTTACGAGCTTTACTGTTACTTAGATCAAGAATTCTATTGCACTCACAGATCATAACATTTGGGCCATATGTAATCGATCCAGGTTTTCAGTTGCTTTGGACAGTATTTTTGCTTACACTTTGAGGCATTTCAGCTTGGCATGGCTCCTGTCTACATAGCATTTTTGAGATTCATGGGAGACGATAGCGAGGCTAAAAACTACAGCTACAGTTTAGAGGTCGGAGCCAATGGGCGCAAATTGATATGGCAAGGGGTTCCTAGAAGCATAAGAGATAGCCACAGGAAAGTTCGTGATAGTTATGATGGTCTCGTTATTCAACGGAATATTGGGCTTTTCTTTTCTGGTGGAGATCGGAAGGAGCTGAAGCTTAGGGTCACTGGTAGAATTTGGAAGGAACAATGAGAAAGGAACTAGAAGTTTGCTTATTTTATGTAGTATATGTTTGGTTGTGTACCCTTTTTCATTTTGATGTTAGGGTTCAGGGATAATGTAGTGAGTTGGGTGTTTAGAGGCAAATTTCTCTTTGCTTCTACTGTTGAATGGAAATGGGGAATCTTTGCTATATATTTTATCCTCCTGGCTCCTGTGTTGTATTTTTGATTATCTACTGTTTTCCGCTTTGCGGTTAGGGGTTTACTGACAATGTAATGAGTTGGGTTTTCAGAGGCAAATTCCTCTTTGCTTTGTAGTGCAGCATATAAATGAAAGATCACTGCTATGTATGTGTATCCTCTTATGTGTTTTTCCTTTTTTCAGTCCATAAAATCATATGTGAACGTTTGTTGGAGTAATGATCTCGGAAGTGCATGCTCAGAATCACTTCAGTGTAGTATTAGATTCACGGAGTTGTGATGTTGCTCCTTTTTATTGAGCTCATAATTTATCCTGACCTTATTATTCGACGAAATAGCGGGCTTTTTTTCGGGTGGATATCACAAGGAACTAAAGATTAGGGTCAATGGTGGAATTTGGGAGAAACATTTGAGAAAGAAACTTAGTACTAACTAATCTATACGTTGCTTATAAAAGAGGATTGAGATGTTAAAACTTGTAATTGTTGCTAATGTCCTCTCAATATAATTCTCAATTATGCACCTCCTCGCTTTCTCATGAAATAAGTTGTAATTTATTAAAAATTATTATTAATTTTCATAAAATAGTACACAATAATTATTTAATAAATATTATCCACAATTATAATTATTAATAGTAGTATAACTATTAATTATTTTATAATAGTATACTAACTATTAATTATTTCAGAATACTACACTAAAATAACTATAGATATTTATTAAATAATAATACTATTAAAATATTTAATAACTATTAATAAATTATAATAAAATAATTAACATTAGAACATAATAGAATATATAAAACAATATACAATTAAGTGTTATTAAGAACTATACCATTCAATAAATAGTACAATAAAATATTATAAGTATGTAATAGAAGAAATAGTATGCTTTTTAACGATGTAATTTAAATTAATAATTACACTATTATTTAATTATTGTACTATTATAAATTTTATAATGATAGTAGAATTACTAATATTATTCATAGTATTAATTGTTTACTAATAGTATAAGTAACATAATATACTATAAAACACTATTACGAATTATATGTTTATTTAATATGTTAAAATTTCTCTTTGCTAGCTTGTAGTGGAGCATGGAAATGAAACGCGTGTGTGGTTGGCTAGCTTTACTGTTTTCACTTTGGTGTTAGGGTTTAATTTCACTGATAATGTAATGTGTAGCGGTGTAGGGTATTTAAGGGCAGATTAATTTCTCGTTGCTTGGAAATGAAGAATGTTATACTATTATAAAACAATTAAAACTATCAGAATACAATAGTACTGATCTCTCTAGGGTAAATTTTACAGCATATTTTAAATAATAATAATAATAATAAATAAATAAGGTATTGATCTCAGAAGTGCTTTTATCTGATAAGGGACTCTTCGTTTTTTTTCTCAAAAGTGTTAATTTTGCAGCAAATAAAAAAAAATAGTTATTCTTCTTCTGGCTTTTTTTTATTTTTTATTTTGCTTCTTCCGGTCCTCAAAATTTAAAACTATCAAAATACAATAGTACTGATCTCAAAAGTGCTATTTCGTTATAAGGGGCTTCATTATATCTCTCTACGGTAAATTTTACAGCAAATTAAAAAAAATAATAATAATACAAAAGCACGCCCACCGTGGGGCTCGAACCCACGACCACAAGGTTAAGAGCCTTGCGCTCTACCAACTGAGCTAGACGGGCTCTTCGGCTCTCTTTTATTTAAAGGGGATAAAAGCATAAAATCAGACGAACATAACCTCAACCGCAAAAGCATGATATAGTTTGTTGAGGTAAATAAAATATCACTCACGAGTTAACTCCCTTGTAGGAAATTTGCGCGTTGGAAATATCTTCATCAACATAGAACTTGGTGCTCAACGGCAGCCCTGGCTCACTGAATCCATCCATATATTAGCCCAGTTTTAGGCCCGTTTAACAAATTGAGGATCATCACAAATCGAAGTAAACAGCCAAACCTATGAGAGTAGGATCCTGCAGCTACTCTTCCCTTTGAGCTTTGTTACAGGGACCCAAACTATGAGACTAATAGGGAGGATAAATGAGGAGTTCCCCTCTTATTGGATAATGAGTTGGCCATCATGATGATCAACTCATTATCCAATAGGAGGGGGACACCTCACTTGTCCCCCCTTATTGGATAATGAGTTGGCCATCATGATGATCTTGAACCGGTTGTCAATCTCCTGATAAAGCAGCAGCAAGGAGAAAGGGAGGATTTTTATGGGTGGACCGCGGACGACGACCCTTCGTGAGAAACTAAATATACCCAATTATTTATTAAAAATAATCAAGAGGAAGCATCCAAAATATCAAACATGAAGGAAATAAAAGGATTATATAAGGATTATATGCACCTGAGTTAGGTTACCTAGCGAGAAAACTAAAACTATGGCAAATAGAGTTGATCAAGTTGAAATAATACGGTTTGCTGCTTTTTTTACGATGAAGAGAGAGAAAGAGAGAAGCGGTGGGCAATAGAGGCGTTAGTCACGTGTATTTTAGAGTAGGGTTGTCCAATTGGGAGAGAGGTTAGTCACGTGTCTTTAGAGTAGGGCTGCCCAATTGGGCTGCCCAATTGGGCTGGAGGCCTGAGCCCGGCCCGGTGCACGGCCATAACCCGACCCTGACCCAACCATGCCCAAGCTCGACTCGGCTAGAATTCACACCGGGCTGGGCGGGGCCGGCTTGGAGAAAACAGTCAGAAATATGGTCGTCCCGGCCATAACGGCCATATTTGGATTTTGACAAAAAATACCTCTAAAATGGTCAAAAAAAGATCAAAATATAAGGGTATTTTGATCATTTGTCTAGAGGCTGCATCTATAAATAGAGGGAGTTTTATTTTTCTCATCCAAAACTCATCTACTTCTCTCTAATGCTCATTTTTCCTCTGTAACTCTTTAATCAAATGGCTTCCTCCTCTGATTATAAAGGGCAAAACCAAACTCTAGATCTTGAAATGAGTCCTAATACTCCTACTACAGGAGCTACAACTACTCCTCCTACTCCTACCATTGTTGATCACAACTCTGGTGACGACGATTCTGCTCCAAGAGCTCCTAAAAGCCGAGATCCGTTGTGTGGAACTTTTTTGAGAAGATAGAAGTCACTAGGGATGAACACGGTAGGCTTCTCACGTAGAAGACTAAGTGTGCGTTGTGCAGCCATATTTTCCAAGTTCATCATAAGAGCGGTACCAACCACCTCAAATGCTATTTAGAGAAACACAAAAAAAGGTCAGACGCCTCAAGGTGATATCTGACATTCTTTACTCTCCCAATCCTCATCTTCTGGTAGTCTCGGTAGTTGGAACTATGATGTAGTCTGAGCTAAGAAATGCGTAATCATGTTTATTATCCTTAAAAACATTCCTTTTAAATTAGTAGAAGATAATGAGTTTGAAGATATGTTTACAGATGGTTTTTATCCCACATTTAAAGAAAATTTTCTTCAAACTTATCGACGTAACATTTTAAAATATTATTAGGAGGAATAAGCAAAAATAATTTTTAATTTTTAAAGTTTAAACTGTAAATTTTCGTTAACTTCTGATATTTGGACATCTAGAACACAAATTGGCTATTTATGTATCATACCACACTGGATTGATAATAATTGGCAAATGTTTAAAAGAGTTATTTCTTTTATTGTATTTAAAGAGTCACATACTGGTATTAATATTCCAAATTTAATAATTAAAGAACTTATAAAATTAGAAATTTCAGAAAGAATATTTTCTCTTTCACTAGATAATGCAAGTTATAATAATCTAGCTGTTGATTATATCAAAACATCTCTGCTATTGTCATGTCATGATGATATTTTTTATATTAGATGTGTGTGCCATATTTTAAATTTAATTATTTAAAGTATATTTAGTGAAATTAAATCTATGATAGAAAATGTTATAATAATAGCTTATGCTCATAATGCTTCTGAACAAAGAATTAAAAGATGGAAATAATTCTGTAAAAGAAAAAATTTAAAACCCAGACTTATTCCAAAACATGTTGACCATAGGTGGAATTCTAACTATGTAATGTTAAATGTAACAATAGAATATAAAAAAACTATAAATGATTTTATTGCTTTCTATGCTTCTAGTTCTAACTCTGGTAGTATGTATGGAATAACAGAGGATGCATGGACAGTTATATGTAGTGTAAAAGAGATGTTACAAGTTTTTTATGATGCTAGTATGTTATTATATGATTGTTATTAACCAACCATTACTTTAGCTGCTTTACAAGTTTTTAATATTCAAAAAAAAGTAATAAATATCGTATGGATAATTATTTTATAAATATAATTTTTTAAATGGAAAATAAATTTAATAAGTATTTTAGGTCTATTCCTATTACTTTTTGTTTGGAGATTCTTATTGATCCATGTTTGAAAGATATTAAAGATAAATTTGAAGAGTTTGAACTAGCATATAGATATAAAGAGTAGACATTATTCATCAATTTGTAATTTTTATTTCTCAGCTAAAAATTTATGATAAATTATTTTGAAAATAGTTGTAAATGATAGTGATATAGATGAGTAGGTGCCAACCTAGTTAGGATGTATTCGTCTATTATGATGCGATGAATTTCAAAATAAATTTATAATTGTAGATGGTTAACTGGTTATTAATAAAGAAAGTATTTTTATCATTTTAATTTTTATAATTTTTTGTATTTGTAAATTATATAATTACAAGTGATTATTAATATGATTGTTTTCATTAAAATTTTGTTTAAATTTTGGCTATGTATTTTTAAAAATTTAAAGAAAAAAAATATTGAACCGGCCCGAGCCCAGTTTTTCGGGCCGGACCGGGCTGTTTAGACAGCCCTACTTTATAGTTTAGAGATATTATGTGGGAGGTAAGTGACTCCACACTTGCGCTTATCATTATCTAACAGCAAGGACATTATTGATGTAAATGGCAAGGGAAGTATTGTCCGAGTACGCAAAGTTACTCAAAACCTTTCAGCCCCTAGGGCTTTTTAATATATAGCGATATGGAAATAGTGGTGTTTAAAATGGAAAACAAAGTCTAGGGGTTTTTCGTGGTAAACACCTCAATCAGTTTTGTGAAATTTATTCTTTTAATTATGATTTTTTTTATTTTAGTCCCTTAA